TCTTAACACACTGTACATTATTGACCCTATTATTATTATTATTATTTGTAAAATTGTGCATACAAATGTGTTAACAAGGTCACAATAAAACATTGGCAAAGTATATCTTTCAATATCGTTTTTACCTTTGTTCAGTTTCCTCATCTACAGCGAATTTATTTACACCAATTTCTACTGATGAATATATATTGTTCGCATCGACTATCTCTGTGGTTATTAGTTTGCACCACAAATAAAATCCGGGTTAAAAATACACATTCTTACGTATTTGCGATTCAAGATAGTTTAGTGAAGTGTAACTTGGCCGGAAACCAATGTAACTTAAAACTGGATTATTTATCATTTTTCTGACTTTTTTAGAGTATCCAAATTCGTAAAACTATTGATTTTTAAATAATAACGTGGTATATTGTAAATTTACAAGTTTGTTTATCTCCCCCCCTTTTAAAATAATGATATCAAATACATACTGTTCCATTTGCTAAATAATATAAATTCCTATATTCCAATGTTGAGATAATTCGATTATTCACCGAAGCATTATAATCATTGCTCCATGGATCAAGCTCTATTTATTTATTGACATATTCTTGTCAAAGCAGCAAAAAACAATTAATGCCTGCAATGAATTTATGAAAAAAACTTGCCTGAATCAAATACATTCATTGTCATGCTTCTCTCAGCGCTGGAATTCGTGGTTATATCAAGTTTAATTGAACCAGTGGCCAAAAGTATGTTGCCATTTGGTTTAACTGTCCAAACGTAAGGACGATTGATGTCAACATAATCTTCTGGTATTGTTGTTCGTGTAACATATTTATTTGAACATTTTGAGTCAGTTAGATAGATATTGTGAATAGTAACAGTAATAATAAAACAATTATCATGAAACTTTACTTGATTCATCTTCAGAGATACAATCTATGGTAAAATCATTCTCAAAACTGAGATAGATGACTGCATTGATTGTGGTTTTGATATTAGAAAACATGTCATTGGATTTTTAGGCGAATAATTATTTTACCTGGAACAGGTAGACTCGCAATTGTTGAAAGGGTGCTAATCATAGCAGGCTGTTCTTGAGTTAGCTTTAGAAACGACAACGCAGAGGGAAAACCTAGTAATAAAGATGATACAACGGCAAAACACCATTGAAACCATAGTTTTTTTTTGTGGCACATTTTTTTGTTAGTCGATTGGTTTTTATTATTTTTAATGTGAATAATAGAATTACATTTATAATGAGAAGAAAAACGCGAGTTTATATTGACAATCGAAAAGTCTAAAGAGGTAGGTGTAATTTGCAAAAATTAAGCTATTGTTTACTTTATAAAGTAGTTGTTTTCAATATTATGATTTCAAATAAAA